AGTTCGGAGGAGTTGAGTTCCATATTACTGTAAAAGCACCAATGGGGTCCGTATTTCACGCATCACCATCTCGAATTAACTTATATCTGTCGAGACCAAATTTTAAAAAACGTGAACATCACACAGATTAATATGTACCCCTAAGTCTCTGGAACGGAATACATGCACCAGTGAACCTACAACTTCACGATTTATATTTTAAAAATAATTAAATTCACTTAGCATTCAAAACTTGCGAATTTTGAAAAAAACAAATTTGCTGATTAAATGCGAACAACTGTTTAACTGAAGTAAAACGGGTTTTCCCCTTGCTATGGATGTCTGCCTAGTTCAGTTCAGCCACATTCCGCTGCAGTTCGCCTTTATTATCAGTTCGAAATGGGGTGATTCCATAATACCACCTTCTCCTCTAATTTATTTATTATAAATCTGATGAAATAAAGTTATATCAGGTTATAAAGGTGAAATTTAGATACTGTATTTCGATTTTTTTTAGGAACGACTGGAAAAAAATGTTCCAGAATGTTCGATGAGTAACCAAAGGATGTTTCGTAATATATTTCATTGTAAATAGATGCACCAGCAATGTATGAAACTTTAGGAGGGACACATTGGCGTGTTATTGCGCTATTCAGAAATGGTCACAACGCAACAAAGGTTCACGATCTCATCTGCAAAGCGTTTATTAATTAAAGCGTTCGTGGATGAACAAAGATCAACCACCTGTTGCAAATGACAAAGGGCTGATAGAGCAGAAGGCGATCTGCGTTTGTTTGACGTCGTCATGATGGAGTTGTTTCCAATCATGTTGATTGGAAACAACTCCATCATGATCTGTCACTGTCACGAAAAACCTCTACTATGAATAACTAATCGTTTGGACGCCAAAATCAAAGAAATTTGTCCAGAAATTGGGAAAGTCCGATACCGCCACAATAATGTGCTAGCACATAAAACAAAAATGACTCCAGGGAGACGGCTGGATAGCGGTGGTCAAGGTGGCATCTTGCCACTCCGGGGAACCCGAGATCGAATTCGGACGAGTTAAAAAAGCTCCAAGGAATGTTTCAGGTGGTGGTCTGTCCCTCACCATCCAGCTGCCTTCATTGTGGGCCTGGCCGAACTCATAATGGGCTTGCTAATAAATGCCCACAGGGTGGAGAGTTGAGAAAAAATTTGACTTTAGGGATGCCGGCCAGTCTGGACTGGGAGATTCTGCCTCATATACCTTACTTGATCCAGACTTGGCGCCAACTGACTACCATCTGTTTCGCGCCCTGCAGAATATTATTGCCAACGTACTGTACAGTTTACTGACAGTACTTAATGTTCGAGATTTCTCCAAAGAGATTATATGTTCACAGGATTGAAAGTCTGCAGCAGCGTGTGAGATTTGATCGATATTGAGGGTTTTTTTTTTTAACTCTTTCCGCCCTGTGGGCACTAAGAGAGCCTCCTTTAGCAAACCCATTATGGTTCGGCCAAGCCCACAATGGGGCGACCGAGTGGTGAGGGACGGCCCGACATCCGGACAGATCACCCCCGAAAAATTCCTGGGGATTTTCCGGCCCGTCCGAATTCGATCCCGAGTCCTCCAGAACGGTAGGCTTCTACCTTGACCGCTCGACCATCCGGCCAAAATATTGAGGGTGATTAGGTACAACGCTGAACTGTAATCCTTGTTTATTTTAATTGTCAATAAAGGTTTTTTTTCCAAAATGTCCAAATTTCACCGTTAAATCCTGATAGTGTGTGGAGAGAGTTGAAATTGTAGTAGTCATATAATGTAACTAATTTACATTTAATTTTTGAACGTCATAGTTATAAAGACACTGCATCACATCTTCAGTTTATTTAATGATGATAAAAGCAATAATTTTTCATCTTCGGAACTTTTAAATTAACTGTCTTTCATGTAATTAGACTATGCACGAATTTGCGTGAATTGCATAAAAAAACTATTCGAATTCTAACCAGATCCGAATCGCTTTTATATGACAGCCGGATAGACAAGGAAGCTAATACGCACGTTCTTGCTATGAAGCGATTTCGAGTTCAGATCGAATACAAGTCGACCCCTCTATAACAATGTTGATTATTCCGTTTTATATGAATTCCATCTTGTACGAGTCACTTAGATTTTACAAATACGTGTGCCGGGCTGTGAACGGCTCACGTATTTGTAAAATCTAAGTGACTCGTACAACATGGAATTCATATAAAACGGAATAATCATTGTTATAGGAGGGTCGACTGTACTTAGAAATTTATGAGTACTTGTGACTGGATATTTGTGCTCCCTCTCTCATCATACTAAAATAAAATTTAGCTTCATATAAAGAGTTGCTACAAATAAGAATATATTAATTAAATTTCTTTTTTTTTAATTTAATTTTATTTAGTTTACTATAATTTACTCCTTATCGAATTGATAATAACTTAGACTTAATAGGAAGTAAAATTAACTTTAATATTAAACTTACGCTTACCTTTTCTACAATTCCAACTTCGATCGGAAGTGATTCTTTCCTTCCTGTTGGTAACTACTAACCGGGACTTTTTCCTTTGATTATAACGAATGTGGCCAGGTCTACAACCTGAAATGAGAGACAATACGATTTTCCCGGATCGAACTATCAATGAGCCGATTCGGACTCCAACCTTCTTGATGATGAACAAAATGCATGCTTACCTCAAATCGGATAGCATATTTTTATAATAACATTTCTTTATTTACTCAAATAGCGTGATAATAATCGTTATTTTGTTTCAGAGCTACAAATTCTTTTTCCATTTATTAATTATTGAAAATGCTGATTTTCACGATTCGTTAATATGGAATATTTTTAGACAAAAATTTAAAGTACACTCTTTCTTTTTTTTTGTTTTCAATCGCAGAATGTAAAATAATATACTTTTTCATTTTTTTTAAAGTTTGAATTTTCGTATTATAATTATTTCGACGTGTAATTTCTTAAATCGACAAGAAATTATAAGTGAATTTTAAACGATAGAAACAATTTCGCAAAATATACAGTATTCGGCACTTCTGATCGAAGTGCGCGAAGTTTTATTTCGTTATCGCATCCGGTTAAACTTTATCAAGCATGTTGACTTTTTCGTTACCTACAGTTTCAATAAGTAGTAATTTATCCAAAATATATATTAATTGGATTGCAATTTAAAACAAAAAATTGTAGACCTATAAATTCCCACTGTTGTCCATTCATCCATCTTTCCTTAATCTTAGATGAAATCTGAGACTAGCTTATGAAAAGCTTATGACAGGAGGCCTCGATTAACTATATATGAACTTCTCATGCAAACTGGAAATCATGTTACTTCAATTTAAAAATTTCCCCTGAAAGATATTAGATAGATGACTGGCATGACTCTATTGCTAATAGAAAAGTATGATGTACAGGGGCAAGACACTACTAATTTGAGCTGGAGATAATATACCAGTATTTTAAATGAAATTAATTAAAAATATGATTAAAACTTGCAGCACAGCATTGTGAAGATGTCACAATAAATAATTGCTCATTTCTATTTGAATTAGTGCTAGAGATAATGTTTTTTTCATCAGTCTTTCTTTCAAAAATCACACTCAATAAATACACATTGTTTAATTCGGGGGTATGCATTCCGGGTTTACAATCTGTCCCCCCTTCCGTTTCTTATTTTATTGTCTTTTATTATCATATTACACGATAAAAAAAATTCTGTTAGTGTCATTATGTTGTAGTTGTGTGGATCTGCACTGTATTTGTCAATGTTAATGTAGGCAGGATTGGAGACATTTTACTACCTATCTAATGAAAAATGACAAGTATCTCTTTTACACACTGTATAAATTTAGAACACATTAAGCTTTCCATTTATAAGGAAATTCATTGCCTGCTGACTATGCTTTTGTACTGGCATTTTTAAATGCAATGTTATCTTAGAGCAGTGTTTTTTAACCTGGGATGTGAAGGATTAATAATGATTAAGAATCAAGTAATAATGATAGGTTTTTAACTCTTAGCTTTAAATTTTATATTATACATTTGTCTTATGCCATATAAATTTGACCCCACCTGTATTCTCAAACCCCATGATAAACTGGAAATACTATGAAAATTTCCAGTTTATCCTTGGAAAAACTATGAGAATTTCCGGAATCTTCACTACTACCATCTCCATCTTTGCCACCTTTTTTCAAGAGGGTTCAAAACTGTATTTTAAGATTCAAGAGGGTGGTAATCACTAAAAATATTAAGAAACAATTAATTTATTTGTGGGATACATTTCCACATATAATATTTGTATTTTTTTTTTTGGATGTAATCTCAATTTTCTTGGCTCAATTACAGTCTGATAAGCCTCATATATCTCCACCAATTGGTTATTTGAGATAATTATTTTATTTTATTTATTAGAGGCAATAAGCCTACAACTAAATTTTACAGCTTATTGCCTCTTTAACAATATTTTCAAAAAAAATATTGCTTATTAAATATTTTACTCATATCCTTCATTTGTAAGTATAACAAAGAAATAAAAAAATATATATATATTATACAAATCTTGGCATTTTCAATTGATTGCTTTGCATGAATAAGTTACTAATTACTTATTTTTTGTGTTATATTTTAAGAAACTACATTTACTTTGGACCAAGAAGTAGAGATATTGGAGTTTCTGCCAAAGTTAATCATGTTCCTCATTATGGAAATACTATACATAATCTGAAAAATTTAATTGGAGGACATTATGAAGAAACAAAAGATGAAATCCAGTTTTTGACGTATGATCTTATCCATTTACCAGATGGGAGTATTGGAATAAAAGTAAATATTATATTGCAATAAATATATTTGTAATTTCTTTCTGTTTCTGCTGTGAATGAACTCATTGCAAAAAATGGTACCATCAAACAAAACAGTTTAATTGTGTCTACAAAAATGATTTACAGAGTAATCAAATAATTCAGCAAATTTAAAATAGTATAAATTTTACCAACATTATTTTCCATATTTGTTTCATATCATTATGGGTATTGAATTAACATTGTTTGTGTTTGTGTGATCAGTAGATTTAAAGAATATTTTATTCTGATCAGTAGCATCAGCTTTTGAATAACAGCTATTCTCAATATATTTCAAAAAATGGGAAAAAAAATTTGATAGATAAGGTTAAAATTAGTCTAACTTTCTTTATATCTAAATATTTAATTAGCCAAGTTATGGCTTGAATTTAGCATTATCATTTGCTATAAGGTCTTTTAGTTTTTGAATATAATGGATATTTGGGTATTGTAAATCTTACAACAAATATAGAAATTTGAATAATTTTTTCATAAATGCAGTGATGTAATAGTGAACTTAAATTAAAAAGAAGGGTTTAAACATAGAAAAAACTATATAATTTATAATGTTCTTTTAAATATATTTATTCAGTGTCTTCCTTTTTATATTGTTATTAGATCTTAGAAATTACAATTCAAAAAGTAAAAAAATAAGAAAACTTTATATTGATATTTCTATCACTTGTCAACATCACATTTTCTTTTTATATTTTTACATTTCACAATCAAAATTATTTATATTAGTTATATTGGATAGTTAGTTCAAAATATCTTCTAAGGTTTTAATTTTTCTTTGATTAAATATAATTCTCAAATTGTAAANGTAAATATTATATTGCAATAAATATATTTTACTGGTCTTTTTATTTTATAATATATATATATATAAATTAGTAACCTAACTAAAATAGATATTAGGGGGAGCCTGAATTAGAATGTGCAAACCTACATTCATGTTGAAACTACTTTACAACCACTAATGCTATGGATGAAGAGTAAACTCTTAGATTTTAGATATTGTGTATTAATGAATTTTCACATCCAAACGTTTTACCTTACTTATTTGACATTTTCTTTTTTTTATTTATTTACAAAAGTAAAGCCAGCTGTACTACTGTATTTAATATATTAGTAGGAGAGAGTGGGATAAAGTGGTCAGTATGGGTAAAGTTGCCATCCACTGTTATTTTCTGAGATAATGTTGCTGTCTAATGGCAAGCATTTGAACTCCTTTGGCAGGAAGCTAGAAGTGTTATAAGAGCATCTGAGCTGTTTGACATAATTGTTTTTTGTGTTAGTAAAGTTTTTGTGATTTTCATCTTGTCTGATGTAAAGTATATGATGATACTCTTTATTTTATATAAGATAGTAATAAGTTTATAATCAATTACTTTACTTTAAACTTATTGAAAAAGTATGCTTTTGGCTTTAAAACCTTGTGGAATAGAATGAAATAGTTAGTATCTAGATTAAAAACTGACCAATTTTGTGTAATGGCATCCAAGAGGGCAAAGTGGACACCTTCCTGGCCACTTTGCCAGAAAAACTACATTATATTATCAATAAAACTAATAAATCAATGCCATATAGTAATTTAAAATATAATAAAGATTAAATCTAATTTAATCTAAAGCCTAAGAATTTAAGATTACTAAAGGTTACCTACTGAAAATTAATTACATTTTACAGGTAGATGACACAATGCCATACAATTACAGACGAAAAACAAACCAGCAGGGCTGGGATTCTTGTGTCATGCAGCAGGCCATTAATGCTGTACGAAAAATGGAATTCCATATGCTACAGCGGTCACTTGCCACTTTATCTGACTAGGTCGGGTAAAGTGGCCATTTTCGTATAAAACTTTGTAAAAATTTTTAAAAATTCCATGTTGTGCTAATATAAAAATAAAATTTTTTCTTGCTTTTACACTACATGTAGTTTATATAGAACTATTTTAATCGTTTTTCCGAATTAGAAAATAAGAGTGAAAAATCATTTTAGCTTAGAGTGGCCACTTAATCCTGCTCTCCCCTATATCAAATTTATACTTAAAATGCTATTAAATTAAAAAAAAGAAATTTTTGTTATCTGTAAGCAAAAAAATATTTTTAATGTAAAACATAAATTGGTTTTTTTTAATTCAGGTAAACTATTTACAAGATAATACAATATTTACTGTTCAGCAAGTGACTGCTATGATGTTTACTAAACTTAAAGAAATTGTTGAGTACAATCTTAGCATCAAAGTTAAAGACTGTGTTTTATCTGTAAGTGAAATGTCTTTATATTTACAAAATATTATTTAAATAAAATGAATTATTTGCAGTAAAATAATGATAAAATAAAATATTTTTGGTATTGTTCATGCTTTAAAATACAATAATAATTTTAATTTATTATTTAAATATATCTGCAATTTTAAAAATTTATAATATCCTCTAAATTTTTAAAATGTGCAGATATTCATACATTTAATATGTTTATAAAATAAAGTAAGTAATTTCTGTCAAAATTTATTACATTTTTAAATTAATATTTGCATAAAAGCAATTTTTTTTAAAAATCAGATTCCAGCATTTTTTAATGATAATGAAAGAAGAGCTTTAGTTGATTCTGCAAAAATTGCTGGTCTTAATGTTTTACATCTTCTGCATGAAACAACAGCAGGTATTGTGATTTAGATTATATTTGAATCATTTTATGTAGTTTAGAGTTTAGTTCTTATTCAAGTTTTACATTAATTTCATAACATAATTCTATAATAATATAAAAACCAAATTTGAATAGATTAATTGACTCATAAAATATACGAAAATAAAATACATAAGTATATCAATAATGATTAGTATTACTTTTAGAATTATTTTTCACGATGTTATAAAATAAGATCAGCTTTAATTTCAAATTAAATGGAATTAACTTAAATTTAAAAAGTTATTTCTATTTAATATTAATAAAGATTAATTCTATATTAATGTAATTTATTATAGTATACAATTTAATTCATTAATAAAAAACTAAGAAAATATGTAAGATAAAAAAAAAAAAAAAAACATTTTATCTGAGTCGTTTCAATCGTTCTTGTGTATCGTCAGGAGTAAAGATGAATAGCAATAGAAAAAGATAAGTTTTTGAATTGAATTCCAAATTGAAATTCCAAAATCACACAGGAGCCCGATATGAGTTTTAATCCATTCTCATGTGAAAACAGATGATTATTTGGAAATCAGAATTTGGAGAAACTCATAAGTGTAATCGATGGAGAGGGGATTTGACTGTTAAGAATTGGCAAAAAAAGGTTTCCAATTGTCCATCTTTACATGAACAAATTATGTTGTTGATTTTACAAGATTTTTTCTTAAAGTTTAAAATGCCAGTAATTTTTTCAGGACAATGTGTGCATTTATGTGCATTTGATATTTTATTTGTTATGAAACAAAATAAAATTAGAATTGTATTAATAAATCTAATTTTCTTTATTTTGATCTTTAAAGTCACACCTCGCCCTATATGCAAGATCGTCTTATATGTGAGTAAATACAGTAATCTGAAAATTGTGGCTTTAGTAACAGCTCTGATATTGTCATTTTGTGGGTCAAAGCTCTGGCAAAAATTGGTAGAGCTATGGCCTGCAGGAAATTTGGATGTGTGATCTCCTGACTGTTTTTTCTGAAGATATGCAGAGTACAGTGTATGAAATGCAATGGAAACAAAGGAAGAACTGTTCATTTGTATCCTTTCAGCTTTTCAGAAGACAAGTACTCTTTGAGTGTATATGACAAAACATAGTTCATCACTGTACTCTGTATAATGAAGATGGCAGTTGCCATTTTAAACATCTATTGTAAATATGTAGAAAAATTTAATAAAGTTTCATTTACTGAACTCTGTATAAAGTACCTATTACTCATTATCCCAAAGTGCATACACAATAAGACTGGAAAAGTAAATGTATAGGTATGAACAAGGTTGCCTACATACAGACACATCCAAATTTTCTACAGGCAAATTTTTGCTTCTAATCCTAGGTTGCTTCATAAAAAAATGTCTATCTCTTTGACCTCTACCACTCACATATAGCAAACATTAACATCATGCATAATAAATTTGTTTATTTATAAAAATAATAATTTAATTTTCTACGTGTAAATAGCACTTATAAAATGAATTGAAATTATATTTAATACTTTATTTTGTCATTTAGTAGTTAATTATGAATATGTATTTTGTTTAAAAAATAAATATTGACTTTTTATGAGTAACCAAAGGATGTTTCGTAATATATTTCATTGTAAATAGATGCACCAGCAATGTATGAAACTTTAGGAGGGACACATTGGCGTGTTATTGCGCTATTCAGAAATGGTCACAACGCAACAAAGGTTCACGATCTCATCTGCAAAGCGTTTATTAATTAAAGCGTTCGTGGATGAACAAAGATCAACCACCTGTTGCAAATGACAAAGGGCTGATAGAGCAGAAGGCGATCTGCGTTTGTTTGACGTCGTCATGATGGAGTTGTTTCCAATCATGTTGATTGGAAACAACTCCATCATGATCTGTCACTGTCACGAAAAACCTCTACTATGAATAACTAATCGTTTGGACGCCAAAATCAAAGAAATTTGTCCANTACACAATAAGACTGGAAAAGTAAATGTATAGGTATGAACAAGGTTGCCTACATACAGACACATCCAAATTTTCTACAGGCAAATTTTTGCTTCTAATCCTAGGTTGCTTCATAAAAAAATGTCTATCTCTTTGACCTCTACCACTCACATATAGCAAACATTAACATCATGCATAATAAATTTGTTTATTTATAAAAATAATAATTTAATTTTCTACGTGTAAATAGCACTTATAAAATGAATTGAAATTATATTTAATACTTTATTTTGTCATTTAGTAGTTAATTATGAATATGTATTTTGTTTAAAAAATAAATATTGACTTTTTTAATTTTTTAGTTGCTTTATTTTGTGGATTTTATAATAAACAGTTTGTTGAATCAAATAAAATAATGTTTATTGATATGGGCCATTCATCCTTACAAGTATCAATATGTAATATTTCTGAAGATGTAGTTGAAGTAAGTAATAGTTTTTAATAATTTTTACATTTATTTTTTGTTTGTGAAATGATTTTATTTTCTAAAGTTATTCATAAACTTTGATTTTGATATAATCATTCAATTGTTTTTGTAATGTACACTTAAATATAATTCTTTATTCCATATTACATGATTTTTTAAAAATTTAATACAGTTTTTCGTTAGAATTACAGAAAAAAACAAATTACAAGAAATACAAAATTTTATTCAATGCCTATTATTATAGTTTTTCTATAAACTATAATATAAATTTAGTTTGTATATAATGTTATCTTCATTATTATCAGTCAACTTCAAGAAAATGAGTATATTCGTGCAGTGTAATAGTTATTCCATAATTTGGAGAAAAATAATAAATAATATTAATTAAGCATTTAGTTAAATGCTAAATATATTTAAATATAATTAAACATTATCATTTCATTTTTCTGTATTTGATGAAACTATGTCTCGTCTCTAAAATTGTGCTGCTGTCAACGGCTACATACCTTAGAGTTATGAAGGAGTACATGTCAGGAGTTGCATTTGGCACCCAAGAGTATTTGGTGCCCAAATCATGTGCACATAAAATAAACCAGACTTGTAGGTAGTCAGGACCAAGAACTGGGTCAAAACAAAATATGAAATGTTGAGACTGTTTCTATAAACAGGTGCGAGTGTGAGATTTGCACATGTATTGCTTGCGCTCTCTGAGACATAGTCTCATTCCAAGAATGGCTTTGCTTTTACTTGTTTGTTTAATAATAATTTCTACTATTGTTTTAAAATTTAAAAAATTTTTATTACAAAATGATATAAATTATTCAATGATGATAAATGATTGTTTTGTACAGATAAAAATTTGTATAATGATATTTTTACAACAATTTTGTCTTATTACAGGAAATTTATTTAAAATTTTGATTGATATTAAATTATTTTGTATAGCTTAATCCAACATAATGGTTGCCTTGTCAACTTTAAGTGTTTGACAAGGCAAGCCTTGTTTTATATTACAGTAATTAGTTCTTACAGGAAGCTTAGTAAATTGTTTTATACATTATTTATGTATTGAAGTGGCCAAAAACGTTTGTTATCTTCCATTCATCTAATATCTATTAAAAAAAATTTATGCTGTTAGTAGTATGTAAAAGTGTCTGTGTGTGGTTTTATATAGTATATATTAAAAAGTCATAATTTTATTATATTTTTTAATATATATTTTATATTTTAATATATATAATTTATTTATTTAAATTACAACTTACTAAAATATAGTTAAACTTTTGTTTAATTTAATTAAAATATCTATTTTATTATACTTTTTTTTAGGTATTAGGGACAACTTGGAAAAAAAATTTGGGTGGAAGAAATTTTGATGAAATTCTGTTGCATTACTTTTCAAAAAGATTTTATGAAAAACACAAAGTACAGGTTTTAAATGATAGAAGAGCTACAATTAGACTTCGTCAAGAATGTGAAAAATTAAAGAAGCAAATGTCTTCCAATTCCCTCACATTACCTATAAATATTGAATGCTTAATTGATGAATTAGACCTTAATGAAACTTGCAATAGGTATCTATAAGTTTCAGATTCATACTGATATTTTTTTTTTACTCTGTTCATCTTGTAGGCACTGAGAGGGTTTTTTAACCATACCCGTTACGAATTCAACAAACCTCACAATCATACTTTAAATGAAATATTTGTTAACTGAATTATGTAAAATATTTTAACATATATTTTATAACTTAATTCTTGTAGAGAAATCTTTGAAAATGAATGTAGTCATTTATTATCCATGATTGAAGAAACAATATTAAGAGCACTTACAGAAACAAGTAAGTTAATAATTTTTTGATGACAATAATAAATGACCATAAGACTTTAAACAATATAAAAACATGTTTCATTTATACATCTTAATATACAATCTCAGAAAAAGTTTTAGTATATTTTGAAGAATTTATTATAATATAAATGCATAATTATTCTATTATTTTTTTACTAATTTATATAGATAATAGAATAATTTTATCTTTGCATTAAGTATAATTATAATTAATTTATTAATATCCTGTTTTTTTTTAATATAAAAACAGGATATTAATAAATTATGATAGAGTTAAAATTTGTGTCATGATTTTAACTTTAGATTTGAATTATTGTTATTATTATTATTTGAGTAAATAATAATAATAATCAGTTGAATATTAAATAATTTATTGGATTTTTTGTTAATTGAGCAAATAACAAAATTTGGATTAAATTCATTTCAATGAAATTCATTTTTTTTCTTTTTATTTTTAAGTTTTGAAGTTTATATTTTATCTATTTTGTCTATATTTATTCCAGAATAAATTGGAATTTATTTCAGTTTAATTTTAAATAAATATATAAGAAGTATGAATCAAATGATATAATTGATTTAATTTTTTTTATACATTTTTCTGATTTAAATTAAATTAAAGGAACTTATTTATTCAAAACAAAATTCATTTCAGTGTTTCCATATTTTTGGTTTTAATATACCATCAGCTAAATATTAGCGAAAGCATTGAAAATTTCTACTTTATTGCATGATTATTAATTTTTAATAAACACATTGTTGATAAGAAGAAAATATAGCAAGGATAACAAAATATCATAGAAATTATAGTTATTTTGTATTTAAATTTGAAATATTATTTATTACCTAAAAATGAAGAACACAAGGACACAAACTGAGTGAAAATAAAGAGTAAAAACTGGAAAAAACTCTGTAAAAATACAAAAAACGCTTTCTGAATTTTATATTTAATTGCAATTGTTTTGAAAAGTTTTTAAACTTAAAGTTTAATTAAACAATTCAATTGCAAGTTATCTATACTTCTATACTAATATTATAAAGAGGTAAAGTTTGTAAGTTTGGATGTAGGAGGTAATCTCTGAAACTACTCATCTGATTTCAAAAATTTTTTCACCGATATTTAGAATGTACCTTCAGGGTGGGCATGGGCTGTATATTATTCCGTTAAACATTCATATAAATTAAAATATATCATCTAGGTAGCATTATATTTTTGATGTCAGCAGGTGGTGAGGGGCAAGACACGTATGTATACGAGATAGGTAACCGCGCAGCACAGTCACATGGTCGGCAAGATACACAGTGCATGTATCCAAACTTGTAGTATATAAAGTTGACACAAGGGATGCATGCACATAAGTTCACTTTATTCAAACTCTTAGTCTTAATGTTTGATTTTATGTTCGAATTTATGAATGATTCGAGAAGATCCAACTTATCTTTCGAATTTAGTAAACTAGAAGAAGAATCCAGAAGGGGTTACAAAAATGTTTGTTATTTATCACTTAGTGATACTATGCACTGGTTAGTGGTTGCTGTGAATCTTAATTATCATTATCCCAGTGTGGTAAGCAGATATCTAAAAATTTTCTAATTAGTCTCAGAAGAGAGGGGACCTAATTCTTGCACTCAGTGAAAATGGGTAACATCAGCTATAATCTAATGATCTTAATCTTTGCTATCATTTTTGTTTGAGCAACACTGGGCTCATCTGCTAGTCTATATTAAAGTAATAAATTTTATATATGAAAATAAAATAAAATACGTATGAAAGTTTCTAATATAATTTATAATAATTTATATTTTACAGAAATTACTGCACAAGACATAGATAGCATTTACATTGTTGGAGGTAGTACACGCATTCCTGCAATTAGAACAATTATTCAAAATATTTTTAATAAAGAACCTACAACAACTCTAAATCAAGATGAAACTGTTGCAAAAGGATGTGCACTAAAGGTAATTATACATTATAATAAATTAAAGTTTATAATATTTGTTTTATAGAATGTTAATAAAAAATTATATTGTATGTTTTTATTTATTTATTCAGTGTGCAATTATTTCTCCATTGATAAAAACTCAAAACTTTGATGTTATTGAAAATTGTCCATTCTCAATAACATTATCTTGGAAATCAAAAAATTCAGAAAGGTAAAGCACAATTTCATCCGTAGACTTTTAGACATTAAATGTTTCATTTTTATTTATTTATTTCTAAATTCAGAATTGTTTAATTTATGTTTATCATAAACAATTCTGATCATCTAACTTTAAACCTATATTATTAAATCTGGGAGTAAAGTTTGGGTGGTCTCTGATAGTACATTTTATCTTTGAAATTTGCAGTTATAAAATAAAAGGTAGTATCATAAAGTATCTAATTTCACACCAGATATTGGTTAAGTCAGTGATATTATGATTAAGAAACTTATTGAAAATTTTTCTTAGAATAGTTTGTATTACAGATATTGAAATTGCTAATTTCAATGGTTTTCTCTAATGATTTTGATAAATATAGTACCAGCTTTTATTGTAATGACTTTTGAAATTAATTAATTTTTTCTGACTAATTATTTTCTTATTTTTTAAAATAAATTTAATAAATGTTTGTATAACTTAAGTACTGTATATTCCAGCGTATAAGACGACCCCTGACATTTACAGTTAAAATATAGAGTTTTGGATATACTTGCCCTATAAGAGGACACTCAACTTTTGAGAAGATTTTCCTGGATTAAAAAGTCGTCTTATACACCAGAATATACGGTATTTTATTTTTTTGTTTAGTAGAATTTAAATATGGAAATTTAAAATAAAATGAGCAATTATTTATTGTGACATCGTTACAATGCTGGGCTGTAATTTTTAATTTATTTAATTTAAAATATGTATTCTCCATTTCAAATTAGTACTGTATTGGCTTGCCCCTGTACAGTACATCATACTTTTCCTTTAACAATAGAGTCGTGCCAGTCATTTATCTAACACGTTTCAGGGGAAAATTTTTGAATTGAAATAACATGACTTTTGATTTGCATTGAAAGTTTGTATAACTCCTAAGGTTTCCATATCTGGTCTCATCTTTCATCTATCTAACTCTTTTCTTGAGATTAAGGAAAGATGGATGAATGGACAACAGTGGTAATTTATGGGTCTACAGTTTTTTAAAATTGCAGCTTAATCATAATATAAACTCATATTTAAATTACTATGTTGAAAACATTGTAATGTTTAAAAAAGAAATATTCAATTTTTTTTTTACAGTTTAGGAGATTTTCAAATTTTTAAACAGAATCAGAAACTTCCTTCTTCTTCAATAGTGACTGTTATGTCAAGTGAACCTTTTATTTTAAAAGCATATACTAATGAAAATATTGAAATTGGTATGTTTATAACAATTAAATTTTCAAAAGAATATTAATTCTTGTTTTCTTTAAAATGTATAAAATTATATATTAAAATTATATTTATATGCTGTTACAAAAGATTTGAAATTATATTAAAATGTCATTTAATTTTACTTAAAGAATTTATCATAAAATATAAACAATTATAATATCAAAATTATTTGAGATTTGATAATACATAAATATACATAAATTTTGGACATAGCACATTGTACATTCAGTCAATATTCCATGTTTTTATACCATATACTTATTTTAACACATGCTTACTGACAAACTTTTGCATTGGATCAGTTTTTACCTTTCAGTAACATTAATGTAAAACATTGAGTGACATACTTATTCTAAAAATTTTAAATTACTGTATTTTCTTTGAATTGATACATTTATACAAAGTTTTATAAGTTTATCAATTGCAAATATGAGGCAAGTTTATAAAGTAAGTTCTGACTGCACATATTATCTGTGCATATGATACATGTTGGCTTTTGTCAGCAGGTTCTTGTCTCCAAACATCTGATCCAACTTCAGATGTTTGGAGACAAGACATTTGTCATTCACAATTATATCTGAAGATGAGCAAGAAAACCGAAAATGTTGACAGTTGTAAGATAAAGTCTGTAATCAAGTTTCTGAATGCTTTTGATGATTGTTGACAAATTTGTGAGATGTATGGTGACATTTCATGGGTAATGGAATGGTAAGACACTGGTATAGACAGTTCAACTTTAGGAGGACAAATATGCATGATGAATAATACAGATTGTCACAGATGAATTGATAGAGCAGATGAATGAATTAAAAACAGAAGATTCACCATTTCTGGGTTGAATATGACATTCTCCAAAGTTTTGCATGCAGTGATTTACAAAATCATCACAGAATGTTTGCATTATCAAAAATTGAGATTCTGACAAGTGGCACAAACAAAAATGCATGGAAGATTGTTTTAACAATAAATGTGATGACTTTCTTAGCCATATTGTGACAAGTGATGAAACCTGGGTGGCTCATGTGACTCCAGAAAGTAAGTAACAGTCAATGCACTGGCATCACTGTTCATCCCTAGTGAGAAAGAAGTGAAGCAGACACTTTCCACCAGAAAATTGGTATGTACTGTCTTTTGGGACTGACAAATTTCTGACTCATGGAGCAACAGTAAATATTGTATTGTGAGACCTTAAGGAAACTGCAAAGAGCTATTAGGAACTAATAGGCCTTGATTTTTGCAAGGCTATCATTCTGGTATTGTATACTCCAAGACAATGCACAGCCTCATAGTACCAAACAACTGATTTGTTGAAACAATTTAAATGGGAAATTTTTAATCATTCATCTTATGGGAAATAAGTTGGAGAAAAATTGGGAAAATCTGTTACTTCAGAAGTTTTTGGCTGGAAAACATTTTTGAAATGAAGTAACAGATGTGAATGATTGTGTGAAGATTGGCAGGAGACTTCTATGAGGAGAAATTAAAGAAACATGTTTTTCAATATCAAAGGTGCCTTGATGTTGGAGGTGATTGTGTTAAAAAGTAGGCTCAATGTCTAAAGCCCTAAGCAAACTTTTGAAATAAATATTTTGTTACTATATTTTTTAAATGGGTATTTTTAANCTTGTAACCATGAACGAATCAAAAGACGAAATAAGATTAACGAGAACATTTATTAGTTTAAGTACATCCAACTTGGATTTTACACAAATTGCAAAATTATACCCCGACTTACGCGAATTCGACTTATGCGGTTATCGCTCAGTCCCACCTATCGCGTAAGTTCGGGGTACTACTGTAGTCTTAGAAAAAATTATTAAGGTTTCAATTCCCATATCAAATTTAACAGATAATTTTTAATATATTGTCATTGAAAGTACATAATTATTTGCAACTATTACATGTTATTGTTATACAGCAACAATAGATTAAATGTATAACAACTATTATTGTTGTACATTTAATCTATCACACTGATGGTCAAACCACTGTGGTGGTAAAGGAGTGAGATTGTCACCTAGAAACCTGGGTTAGGAAATTTAGGAATTTTTTGAGTACTCTGTACCAGATGTACTGTCTTATATCCAACCACTCCTATTATAGGCCTGACTGAACCCATGATAGGTATGATTGAAATATGCTCTCACAATAGAAAGAGTTTAAAAAAATAATAATAATTTATTCTCTTCGTTTGCTTTGATTTTCGTGCTAAAAATGTAAAATATCTGGTAACGAGTTGCGTAACGTTCCTAGCAAAAAAGTTAAAATTGCTTGTGTCGCCATCTGTTACGAGATTTTACTTAAAAACACTTTTTATATTATGAATTATTATAAAGTGGCAAAACACTTAATTTTGAGGGTAGAGATGAGTTTTCTAAAACATTGTAAATGTTAATAATGAGTGAAATCTTCATTAAATCTGATTCCTCTCAAGACACATGACCTCCGCTCTATCCCTCCATCCTCTTGATCTTTAACCATTAAAATTTAATAGCATCAATACCTCTTATATACATTACAAGCTACCATGCCAAATGTCATTTATTAATCATTACCCCATCCTGAGATATTAAATGAAATAGATGCCAACACATACACATACATACATATCCAATTTTTTCACGTTTGGGTTCAGGAAATCTCAAAAAAATGGAGATTTTAAAAAGACTTGGAGGGTCAAATTTGACACAATTCCAATACTTTTCCTTGTTATGCTTATTTAACAGCTAGGAAAGTAGAATGGTACAGTATATTTGGATATTTTTATTATTGAAATATTTAAAAAAATTAAAAATTGTAGTAATAATAATTCAATAACCAAAATTTTTCAGTTATTATTTATTAATTCTTTTATTAATTATTCACTTATTGTTTCTTCACTAAATGTACTATATATATATATATATATTTGATTTTACAGGAACATTTTTTATTGAAGAAGTTATACCAATTGAAGGAAATAATACAAAAGTTGATGTAAACATTGAAATAAATGAGAGTGGTTTGTTTTCCATAAAATCTGCATATCTTATTGAAGAAAAAACACCGGAAGAACAAAATAAATTGCAATTAACAAAATTTAGTACTACTAATAATAATAATAATAATTCTGTGTGTTGCTGTAAGGATATTGAACAAAATACTTTCTTCTTTGTGAATCAGCAAGAAGAGTCAAATTCAATTCAAGAACAAAAGGTAATTTTTTAAAAAGCTGATCTTTTCTGCATAAATGAAATTTTAAAGTAATTAAGTTTTAATTTTTATATGTATGCATGTATTAGAATTGGAAATTATGGCAAATGCATTAAATTTGATATTGAATGATCCTCTCAATAATCTTAAGTATCAAACTTTCCATTATAATATTTATATATAAAATTTTGATTTGAATTTAAGTTAATAAGATTATTAAATTTTAATTTAATACAGTAATACCTCGACTTACGCGATTTTCAAATCTCGTCGATTCGTCTTTTGTTTGAGTGCCACGCAACTCTTGATTACTCACTCCCCACACACTATTGTTCGGCTTACATGTTCGGAATCGACGCAAAGCTACAGTTTATTTTGTGTTATTTAATTCTGTGTTTGTTATATCTATGGAGACTTCAGAGACTCTATGTGACGATTTCTTGTAACCATGAACAAATCAAAAGACGAAATAAGATTAACGAGAACATTTATTAGTTTAAGTACATCCAACTTGGATTTTACACAAATTGCAAAATTATACCCCGACTTACGCGAATTCGACTTATGCGGTTATCGCTCAGTCCCACCTATCGCGTAAGTTCGGGGTACTACTGTAGTCTTAGAAAAAATTATTAAGGTTTCAATTCCCATATCAAATTTAACAGATAATTTTTAATATATTGTCATTGAAAGTACATAATTATTTGCAACTATTACATGTTATTGTTATACAGCAACAATAGATTAAATGTATAACAACTATTATTGTTGTACATTTAATCTATCACACTGATGGTCAAACCACTGTGGTGGTAAAGGAGTGAGATTGTCACCTAGAAACCTGGGTTAGGAAATTTAGGAATTTTTTTAGTACTCTGTACCAGATGTACTGTCTTATATCCAACCACTCCTATTATAGGCCTGACTGAACCCATGATAGGTATGATTGAAATATGCTCTCACAATAGAAAGAGTTTAAAAAAATAATAATAATAAATTATATCAAATAAATATGGCTTATTATTGATAGTCATATTGTGTTTACTTGTTTTTATACATTTTGTAGTTAATTCAGATTTGTAATAAATTTTATTTTGTTTACAAATTATATTTACAGAATCAAAACTTTTAAAAATGAGAGCTTAAAAAGTAATATTTTAAAATTTCTTATCAGAGTATAATACTTTGGTAACCTAATCTCAATACTAGAATACATGATGTAATAGTTTTAGATGATTGTGGCATCTGTTATAACTATTGTAAGACTCATGTTGTTGAGATTCCAGAAGCGGAGGCTCCATAAGTAAACTTCTACCTATATTTGATATTAATAAAAACCATCAGAAGTATATAAGTAAGCTTTTGGATTGTTTTTATGAATGTTTATAAATATTAATAATTTTCCTTTATTTAAAATTTATTGAATTAGTTATATTGTTTGGAGAACAAGCATAAGATGATAATTTTATAATATTATCTTTATAAATTATTTTATTTTTGATAAATTCATAATAATAGAGATAATGCCATAAATATTATTATATGTATTATTTTTTGATGTTTCATTTAGGAAAGTGAAGAAAGTGGGAAAGATGTATTCAATCAAACTCAAAATAATTTATGTTTACTGAAAACTAGATCAATAACTAAGAGTCTTTCTGAAGAAACTTTATTGAAATACAAACAAATGGAAGTATGCAATTTTCAGAAATAAAAATTTTTGATTGATATTAAGTAAAATTAAGTTTACAGTATTTTACTTAATAACATTAATAATAATATTTATATAATATATATTATTTGTCAGGAAACAATGATTAACAGAGATAGGTTGGAAAAAGAACGCATTGAAGCTAAAAATTATTTTGAAGAATATATTTACAGAATGAAAGAGAATGTATTTAATGAAATATCTCCTCAGGTAAATAAATATTTAAAAGATGATTAAAAATAACTTATAAATAAAATTATGTTAAATAAATAATTAAATATGACAAAATATTGATGCAAATTAAAATATTCTGACTTTCTGAAACTGTTTATGTACATGTAATGTATTACATAATATATATATATAGGTTTCAGAAAGTCATATTTTTTGATTATATTAAACAGGTTATTTTTTATGAATATAGAAAATGGAAAGTATATTATATATTATTTGATTAGGCTATTATAATAAATATATTTTTATTATATTAATACATGAAATTCTTGTTCAGTTGACCCTGAACAATATTTTTATTAATTAGTTTTGAATGTTCTGTGTAATAATTATTAACTAGAAATGCTCAGTGCTATTGTTTATTTCATTATTTTTATTAAAAGTTTTTATATTAATGTTTTACGAAAATTTTTAAAATCAAGATTTAAGAATATAAATTTTGTTTTATAGAGAAATGATGAATATTCAAATAACATTATATTGTATAAGAAAACAAATTTCAAAAAAACTTTGAATGTAATTATTACTATCAGGTTTATCATTAATTTATACAATGTTTTTATAAAAGGCTGCTTGCAATTGTTATTCAAGCAGCCTTCTTTTTTATAGGCAGCTAAATTAATCAAAGTGTAAAACTTCTAATAAAATTAAGAATTTTTAAAAAGATTGTTGAAATAAAAAAGAAAAGCAGCATTTTCCTTCAATGATTACATTGATACTGTAAAAGAAACAAATTACATAAATGGTTGTTTTGAATTTTAATAATTCAAAAGATTCATCGTTTATGTAATTTGAAAATAGAGTTAATTTTATTTACTGCTACAAAGATTAAAATTTTTAATTTAGAAATAAAATTATAAAAACTTGAACTATTTGAAAAATGAGAAAACATATTACAGTGACTAAATACAAATTAAATTTCCATATCTTTATGATGCTAAAACATAAAAAAAATAATTATTTTCTTAAACTTTGCATTTTAAAATGAAATTATTGTACACTAAAAGATTTAAAACAAAACTGTCAGAAGTAAGCAAACCATATTTGAATCTATAAGAATAGCGTGTGTTACAAATTATAAATATTATTATTGTAAAATAATTTTTTAATGATTCTCAATGATTCTTGAATTGATATTTTTGAAAAAATATTGTTTTTAAATATTAATAAACATTTTCAAAAACAGAAAAATAGCATANGATTTTCAAATCTCGTCGATTCGTCTTTTGTTTGAGTGCCACGCAACTCTTGATTACTCACTCCCCACACACTATTGTTCGGCTTACATGTTCGGAATCGACGCAAAGCTACAGTTTATTTTGTGTTATTTAATTCTGTGTTTGTTATATCTATGGAGACTTCAGAGACTCTATGTGACGATTTCTTGTAACCATGAACGAATCAAAAGACGAAATAAGATTAACGAGAACATTTATTAGTTTAAGTACATCCAACTTGGATTTTACACAAATTGCAAAATTATACCCCGACTTACGCGAATTTGACTTATGCGGTTATCGCTCAGTCCCACCTATCGCGTAAGTTCGGGGTACTACTGTAGTCTTAGAAAAAATTATTAAGGTTTCAATTCCCATATCAAATTTAACAGATAATTTTTAATATATTGTCATTGAAAGTACATAATTATTTGCAACTATTACATGTTATTGTTATACAGCAACAATAGATTAAATGTATAACAACTATTATTGTTGTACATTTAATCTATCACACTGATGGTCAAACCACTGTGGTGGTAAAGGAGTGAGATTGTCACCTAGAAACCTGGGTTAGGAAATTTAGGAATTTTTTTAGTACTCTGTACCAGATGTACTGTCTTATATCCAACCACTCCTATTATAGGCCTGACTGAACCCATGATAGGTATGATTGAAATATGCTCTCACAATAGAAAGAGTTTAAAAAAATAATAATAATAAATTATATCAAATAAATATGGCTTATTATTGATAGTCATATTGTGTTTACTTGTTTTTATACATTTTGTAGTTAATTCAGATTTGTAATAAATTTTATTTTGTTTACAAATTATATTTACAGAATCAAAACTTTTAAAAATGAGAGCTTAAAAAGTAATATTTTAAAATTTCTTATCAGAGTATAATACTTTGGTAACCTAATCTCAATACTAGAATACATGATGTAATAGTTTTAGATGATTGTGGCATCTGTTATAACTATTGTAAGACTCATGTTGTTGAGATTCCAGAAGCGGAGGCTCCATAAGTAAACTTCTACCTATATTTGATATTAATAAAAACCATCAGAAGTATATAAGTAAGCTTTTGGATTGTTTTTATGAATGTTTATAAATATTAATAATTTTCCTTTATTTAAAATTTATTGAATTAGTTATATTGTTTGGAGAACAAGCATAAGATGATAATTTTATAATATTATCTTTATAAATTATTTTATTTTTGATAAATTCATAATAATAGAGATAATGCCATAAATATTATTATATGTATTATTTTTTGATGTTTCATTTAGGAAAGTGAAGAAAGTGGGAAAGATGTATTCAATCAAACTCAAAATAATTTATGTTTACTGAAAACTAGATCAATAACTAAGAGTCTTTCTGAAGAAACTTTATTGAAATACAAACAAATGGAAGTATGCAATTTTCAGAAATAAAAATTTTTGATTGATATTAAGTAAAATTAAGTTTACAGTATTTTACTTAATAACATTAATAATAATATTTATATAATATATATTATTTGTCAGGAAACAATGATTAACAGAGATAGGTTGGAAAAAGAACGCATTGAAGCTAAAAATTATTTTGAAGAATATATTTACAGAATGAAAGAGAATGTATTTAATGAAATATCTCCTCAGGTAAATAAATATTTAAAAGATGATTAAAAATAACTTATAAATAAAATTATGTTAAATAAATAATTAAATATGACAAAATATTGATGCAAATTAAAATATTCTGACTTTCTGAAACTGTTTATGTACATGTAATGTATTACATAATATATATATATAGGTTTCAGAAAGTCATATTTTTTGATTATATTAAACAGGTTATTTTTTATGAATATAGAAAATGGAAAGTATATTATATATTATTTGATTAGGCTATTATAATAAATATATTTTTAGTAANTTGATAATATATACATACATATATATATATATATATATATATATGTTTCAGAAAGTCATATTTGATTATATTAAACAGGTTATTTTTTATGAATATAGAAAATGGAAAGTATATTATATATTATTTGATTAAGCTATTATATTAAAACATGAAATTCTTGTTCAGTTGACCCTGAACAATATTTTTATTAATTATTTTTGAATGTTCTATGTGTAATAATTATTAACTAGAAATGCTCAGTGCTATTGTTTATTTCATTATTTTTATGAAAATTTTTAAAATCAAGATTTAAGAATATAAATTTTGTTTTATAGAGAAATGATGAATATTCAAGTAACATTATATTGCATAAGAAAATAAATTTCAAAAAAAACTTTGAATGTAATTATTACTATCAGGTTTATCATTAATTTATACAATGTTTTTATAAAAGGCTGCTTGCAACTGTTATTCAAGCAGCCTTCTTTTTTATAGGCAGCTAAATTAATCAAAGTGTAAAACTTCTAATAAAATTAAGAATTTTTAAAAAGATTGTTGAAATAAAAAAGAAAAGCAGCATTTTCCTTCAATGATTACATTGATACTGTAAAAGAAACAAATTACATAAATGGTTGTTTTGAATTTTAATAATTCAAAAGATTCATCGTTTATGTAATTTGAAAATAGAGTTAATTTTATTTACTGCTACAAAGATTAAAATTTTTAATTTAGAAATAAAATTATAAAAACTTGAACTATTTGAAAAATGAGAAAACATATTACAGTGACTAAATACAAATTAAATTTCCATATCTTTATGATGCTAAAACATAAAAAAAATAATTATTTTCTTAAACTTTGCATTTTAAAATGAAATTATTGTACACTAAAAGATTTAAAACAAAACTGTCAGAAGTAAGCAAACCATATTTGAATCTATAAGAATAGCGTGTGTTACAAATTATAAATATTATTATTGTAAAATAATTTTTTAATGATTCTCAATGATTCTTGAATTGATATTTTTGAAAAAATATTGTTTTTAAATATTAATAAACATTTTCAAAAACAGAAAAATAGCATAAAATTTCAGCAGAACTATATATTATTTAAGTAGAATCTGAATTTTATATTTAAGTCATCTTTATTTTAAACATAAAAATTTGATGATGTAAATTTATTTATACATCAATACAGTTATTAAAAATTTTTGTCACAGAATAGAATAACTGCATTTTACTATTGTTCAAAACTATTTACTAAAATTTTTATTTCTATTTACTATACAGTAATATCCCAATTTACATAAGTAATGTGAATCATAGACCTTTACATAAGTCAAATTTGTAAATTGCTTAAGTGTAACTATGTAATTGCCACACCTTTTGTGCTTTCAACAATGCAAACTTTTGCCTTCACTATTGTATTCACTGTCAAAATAGGTTGATTTATTTCCACAGCTGTTCTTATCATCTTACTGTCTTCATACATACAAATTATTTTTAATTTTTCTTTTAAAGTAATTGCAGACCTTTGTTTTTTTTGGTTTATTACCAACAAATTCTGTTTGCCATTTCAATTGCATTTTAATGGTACAGTACTGTAAATAAACAATAAACACTATGTAAATTTAATGGTAAAAACAGGTTATGTATTAAACAAATCGCTTGGGGCAAACTACACTAATGATGTGAAACAGTACGTATAGAAAAACAAGCATTGAAGATGTGCTTGGTTTCACTGCTCGACCTTCAGTGAGTACTGTAGTGTACTGTAGAAGAATCTTGTTTATGAGAAAGAGTGCCTCGTACACTTGTGTATGTGCTTACAATTAGACCAAAAGTAAAAGATTAGCAGAGCAATAAAGTAATAAATCTGTACAGTGCAAAAGAAAGAAAGGAAGTGAGAGAGAGAATGTATGAATGAATGTTTGAAATAGAATAATTCTTCATAAAATTACATGTTACTCTACTCAGATTTTTTTACATTTTTTGAGTTTTACATTTTATGTAACTGCAAATTTACATAAGTCATGTGTTACATAACTCAGAGTATTACTGTATACATTTTATTATCTTATTTACCTATACAGATTAACAAATATTTTTAAGAAAGTAAGTTGTCATTGCTCATAAATTTATAAAAGTTTCTAAATATTTTTTAAGTTTTGCAAGAATTATTGCTTTTGAAATGAAAAAAATAACACGAAAAAATTCTTTGAAATTAACAATTTAGAAGCATTATTTGAAAAAATTTTAAAATATTCCACATTAAATTTATGATAATTCATTTCTATAAAAAAAAAATTAAAATATTTGGAACATTTTTAATAACAAGGCTGCATGGTAAACTGTCAGTGTATCTTGGAAAATCTGGGAATTCAATCCGGAATTGCATAATTTATCATGAGTAATACAGCTCAGGATGTCACCCAGCACAATCATCAGCTAATTGATATTTCTGCAGATCAGATCCACTGATATTGAGTGTTAATTTGGCCAGCCATACAGCCTTAATATGCTGAAGCTTTGTGTTGTTTTAAAATGAAAATAACAATATTAGTCAATAATTTAAAACAATAAATTTAATTTTTGGTTTATGAAAATTACTAGCATTTTTTGTTGAATAGTTATGCTGGAAATGTTTCTGTTTAATTTGCAAATTAAAAAAGTAATCTATAATACGGAAGACATATTAAAAGTAATATGTCTTATGTATATTATCATAATGACATGAATCCTAACATGAATTACATTTTTCCCATTAAATTTTTACAAGTAAAAAGCTTAAGTTGTAATTTACATTTAAATTCCATGAAAATCTAATATTTAAATTTTTTATTAATTTTCACCATATTTCTGAAATTTATTTTTTTAAAAAGCATACACATAACTTTAATCAACATACTATTTATTCATACTAACATTTGCAACCATCTTAGGATCATAGAAAATGGAATACTGGAAATATATTGATAGAATGTTATTTTGTAGCTCAAATATACATTCAAATTTAAAAATTGAAAGAAATACAGGTATTCCTCATACAACATAGCATTCCTACAACACAGTTTTACTCTAACATAATTCAAGAATTGTAGACATCCCCCATACAAAACATTACAGTTTGTAAGTGTAAACACTATCATTCAAGATTTTTTTATTCAAATAAGCATGTGTGTTGTCTCATATTTGCCTGTGGATGTTAGAATATTGAAATTTTCAATGTTGTTTCATGCCTTTTTCCAAGTTTTCTTTAATTGAAAACTGATTCTACAATTTTTCTTCTTCCGTGTTCTAGCTTCCATTCTGGCTTTCCTATAAACTAGTTATCACTGTTGTTGGCGAAACCCAAAAGAATGTCACTATGTTTTATTTTTATGAATTAAATTAAAAGTTACTACATAAAAAGATTAAATTTTTAAAGTTCTCTTAGGCAAATGCAAGCAAATGAAAAATGTAAAGAAAAACCAAGTTGTTGTTGATAATTCAGATTAAGATCAAAAGCCCAGATTACGATGATATTTTGCCAAAAAGAAAACGTCCTTGTTTAATGTTTTTAGCAGTGAATAAAAAAATTAATATTAATGTGCAGTACTTTTGATTGTGATTGTTAGTTAATTATCGATTGCTTTAATAATCATGTTTCTCTTAATTATGAGAAAGAATACAGTAGTACAGTTTTGCTAACTTTTGGAACATAACCTTAATTGTTAATCCTTTGTTTCATACAGCATGGATTTGCATAACACAGCACTTTTTTGAAACCTAACTACTATATCATATGGAGATATCTGTTTGTTGAATTTTAAATATAAATACAAAATTTCAAAAATAAATTAACTGATTACATAAAATACATAATTAACATGTAAATAAATATCAATGGTTACCTAATACAAATATAGGCTTGTATGGCTAAGTCATAACTTTTGATTTAGGGAAATGCTATACTACTACTATGCTAGATACTTCCATGTCATTGAAAGAAAATTATCATCCTTATGATTGGTGCATTAGTGGTTTTTGACATGCTTGTAGAAGGGTATTTTCTCAATGATTCTTTCTCCCTTGGATTTCTGGCCTTGCAGAGGAGCTTAACCTTGTCAAAATACAGTGTATTCTCCAATATCAAGAGCAGCGTTGCCAATGCTATGTTGTATTTTTCTTTTCTAATATCATACTCATGCTCTTTTACTCTTGTGGAGAGGTTGAATACTGTGGATCCTATTTTGAGATCGGCGAGTGAGACAAAGATGCACAATCGAAAATAGATAAAATAAAATACAATAATTTTATTAACTCGCTCGTTATGATACAGGTTTCTAAGGATACCAACAATACTACACCCACTGAATAATCCACATCATTAATTATTTGACCACCGCACAATATGGTCTCCTGACAAAGAGTGCACACATGTAGTCCCTTGTCCGACCCGATTATCCAATTACTTAAGATTATATTAATTAAAACTAGATTCCTATTACTACTTACAACTATTGAATAGAGAAGGCTATTAGAAAATTCTGAGAATGAAAGTAAGGGATAGGAAAGAGGGTATCCAAAACTTGATGATGTATGCTGCTTATGTGGGATCATGGATGAGATTTCTCATTGGGTTGGTGACTAATTAGCTCCCCTTTTTGTCACTCTTTAAGATATTAGTCCAAAGGGTTGATGCATCCTGTTCCTCACAATTAATTTCCTTTACTTTCTCCATTCCAAAGTTCTCGTCTCGACCATACGATGCTAAACGTACTGGGGAGATTTCCTCTCGCTCTCTCTCCTTTGGGTTCTGCCTTCGAAGTGACTGCATGTTCGCCCCCTCCCCTCAGAGTTGCATTTCCTTCACTGCTTCTTGAGTTAGTCACCCACATACCAAAGCCAAAGGTAAAATGAGAACATTCCAGGAAGGGTAGACAAGTAGGACAGACAGAGGGGAAGCAGAAAATATACAATTTAAATATGGCGTGTAGCCACACTATGTAGTGGCTGCTGTGGATCTCTATTCTTAATGTGATTGTGATTTCACAGACTCATGGGTTGATAGGATCTTTTGCATTACATAGTATGTTGTGTATGCTGATTAATGCTCTATGTAATATCTTGTATTTATATAATAATACCAGTTTGTGATTAATACAAACCATAAATCTATATTAATTTTAAATTGGTCTTAAAGAATTGTTTATTTAGAAGGAATCTGTTTTGAGTATTTTGGATGAAGCTACAAATTGGTTAGAGAATGAAGGAGAAGATCAAGAAGAAGGAATTTATATAGAAAAATTGGAACAGTTAAAAGTATTCTTAATTTTTATTTGTTATATTAAAAATAATTGTATTACATTTGATATTTTATAATTTTTTTTTTTTCAGAATTACTTTGGACAATTGTAATTATTAGAGAATTAAGAAATCAAAAATTTTATATTTGAAATTTAGAATGAATTAATCTAATTGAATAATATGTATTATTGAAGTTTCATTTAAATAAAATATAGAAATAATTTATTTTTGTTATGAAAATGGCATATAAAAAAACATGAAAACAATGAAAATTAAAAAAACATGAAAATAAGACATTTTTTTAATGTTGAAACAGAGTTCTTGTGATATTTTTATCATCATTTATTTATCATAATCAATTTTCCATAAAACATTTTTATGCCCAACTTAATTCTAATTTCTAAAAGATCTTAAAAAAATTATGGATTTAGAGCTAAGAAATATCTATCAAAATTGAATGCATTGCAAGGGACCTTTGGATAATATTAAAATACAATGAGATTTCAAGATACTTTTAACAGATAATTTTATAATGCTATATTTTACAATAAATTGCTAAATTATCAAGAAAAACTATTCGGTAAATTATTATTTTTACTCATTAAAAAATATTGAATGTTTTAATACAGATTTACAGTCATTAGATGAAAGAATAAATACAAAATAATTAAACATGTACAATAATCACATATAAAATTTTCCAATTGTAAATTAAAAACAAGTAAAACAAAAATTTAAGTGATCCTTAAAAATTTTTAAACTTTAATGAGCAATTATTTATTATGACATTGTCACAATGCCAGGCTGCAATTTTTAATATTTTTAATTTATTTCATTTAAAATATAAGTTTTGATTTTACTAATGTCTTGCCCCTGTAAATCATACTTTTCCTGTTAACAAAAGCCATGCTGTTATTTAACTCCATTCTGGAGAAAATTTTTTAATTGAAATAATGCGACTCCCAGTCCATACTGGAAGTTCTTATATCATCAGTTGGGACCTCCTGCTCCTAGGCTTTCCATATCTGATCTCAACTTCATCTAATTCTGTCCTTGAAATTAAGGAAGGATAGACAGGCAGAATGACACCAGTGGGAACTTATAGGTCTGCAATTTAAAAATTGCAGCACAATTAGGGTATAACAATAATTTAGGGAATAATTAGGGGAAAACATGAAATGCAGTTTTTTGTAGTACATATATCTTTTTTTTTTTTTTCTATTTTATTCAATTTATTTTTTACCTGTTCATAATAAAACCAGCAAAACGTATTTATTCTGAGATAAATCATTTATGATAACTAAAGTTAAAGTTTATTTAATTTAACATTTCCTGTGATTACTATACAACAGGACTTTTGAGATTTTTGTATTTTACAATCCTTTAAAATACAAAAATCACAAAACACTGTTGGAACCTGCATGTTGCAGTGATTATGAATTGACCAAAAGGTTAGTTCATTTACAACCATACTATTTGACAAAAACTAAATTGTTCATATGTATGATATGTGCACTTATCTGAAAAAAAAATTATGGGCAATATTAACAAAATATACAGTATGATGAAATATTTATTTGATAATACAATAAAACTTCATTGAAAGTCATAAAATAAAGTTATATTTTACACCTTTAAATCAAAATTACACTAATAGCTACATACCAATTTTGCAAGTTTTGATTTTTATTTAAAGATTGTAGGGAATAAAATGTACAGGTTATGAATTTCTTATGGAATATTGTCTTTAAGCTGCTGAATGGTAGGGATTTATTGACATACATCCCAAGTAATCCCAAAGAAAAAAGTCTGGTGCCATCAAGTTGGGCAAGCACATATATGCTCTGAGTTTGAAAACAACGGAGTGCTGATATTGAAAATAAAATTCAATAATTTTCTGGGTTTGTCGCACAAATTTTTCTAAATTTTCAGAAAACAAATTTTCAAAATTTGAAACAAAAACTTTAAAATATATACAGTAAAAGCTGGGTAAACCAGAAATGCACTGTATCAACTTTGTTTTCTGGTTTGGCACATTTCCGTTTTGAACAGGTTTTTCTTTCAACATAGAAAATTGCTCCATTTTGAAGAAATTTTTCCATTGAGGCAGACTTTTGATTTTATTCAGGTTCCGTTTTGGAGAGGTTTTACCGTAATAGCAAAAAGTTTATTACAGTTTTAAATAGAAAAGCGACTTAAGAGCTATCCTGTATTACTAACCAGGTAACTTTCAGGTAACTATTTTTAAAATACATTATTGTGCCTTGTATGTAAATGTTTATATAATATACACTTTTATTTCTAGCTATAAAAACTTTCTATTGAGCTTAAAAGGAATAATTTTGTTGAATTATGATAAAAATCCGTATTTAAAAAATATTTAACAAGGAGACCCTATGGCTATGAGGAAACGGATTTTGATGATCTTTGGTGTAGAGGTAGTACATCATGTGAGTGTACTACTTGTAAAATACTAAAGTGCAAAACTCAAATATAATTGAGAAAAATGAACTTAATTTATTGAAGTATTATAATATAATTACATATCATTGTCAAATGTACTGTACATGATCCTGAATGATACTTATAATAAAAACATTCAAAACAAAAAATTCTGTCTACACCAACTGACGCTCTAACAGACCACAGTGTACCTGAAGAAGGCCTATTAAGAAGGCCGAAAATGTTCGTACTCTGTCTACACCAAGAACAACAAATAAATGCTGCTTTTTTACAATTGCAAGGTATTTGTAAACAGTCTGAAAAACATGCTTCATTTACATTTGTAAAAAACTTTCTTATATCACAGAGTCCACTGGTATACCAAGCATATTTTATCATGTCACAAAATATTGGTGCTGATAATTGATGATGGATAATTGAATGTATTTTCAGGCAATCCTCTCAAGAATGAATTTCATAATTTTTGTCCAGTAGTTCAGCATTATTTTGTAATAGTTTGAATTTATCCATCCATTGGTTTGATGCTTTAAATTGCAAATCAGGAAACTGACTAGCAGCAGCTAAAGCCCAATGCTGTAAATTTCTTGTGGTCACTTGTTTATAATTTTGTCTTGCTTCAACAAAGCAGTTGTACATCCAAGAATCAATCAAATGATAGTCAACCCCCCTATAACACTGTTGATAATTCCATTTTGTATGAATTCCATGTTGTACGAGTCAGTTAGATTTTACAAATATGTGTGCCGAGCTGTGAACGGCTCACATAATTGTAAAATCTAAGTAACTCATGCAACATGGAATTCATATAAAACAGAATTATCAACAGTGTTATAGGGGGTCAACTGGGTATTTATCAAAAATAGTTCCACCACGTTCAACATCTTTTTCCCATAATTTTAAATGATCCATTCTTTTCAAATGACTGCATCCTTTTTTTTGTAATGTTTGTAGTTTTCATGTAGGGTGGGCTTTTGCTACTTTTAAAACTTTGATTTTATATTCCAGTGAAATATATTCCTTCATTCTACATTTTTTTTAATCGGGTGCATAGTCATCAGATGAGTCATCTTTAATTGCTTCGAAATTTCCTTCTGTACACTCTTCTTGGGCATAAATCAATTTGTCATCAATTATAAAGTTTTTTCATTCAACACATCCAATGTATTTTTTACCGTATTGTACCTATTCATTAGTATACGGAAAACTACTAGTTTTCCATTCGTTTCTGACTTTTGGAGGCTTAATAAATCCTGAGTCTGTAGAATAAAAACACTTTTATTTTTATATAAATATACTTCACCCCATGTGGGGTGAAGTATATTTATATAAAAATAAAAGTGTTTTTCTTTGTGTTAACCTGTTTATCTTTTTCTTAATTTTTATACCAGTCTACAGACTCGGGATTTATTAAGCCTCCAAAAGTCAGAAACGAATGGAAAACTAGTAGTTTTCCGTGTACTAATGACTAGTACAATACGGTAAAAAATATATTATCTGACTCCATCGATTTTTTTAGAATATTTTTATTGACATCAAATGTATTATTGTATAATTCTATGCCTATCAGCATAGCATCTTCAGATAGTGTATCAGAAGATGCTGTTGCAATTAAATTATTTTCGAAAAGTAAACTCTCATAATACACTACTCCCATCTTTTAGCCACTGCTTTGATTCATCACTGTATAAAGAGTATCATCAATAGTTTTTTTGTCACAACATCAAGAACTTGCTTCGCTTGATAACATTTTTTTAATTATAAAATAATTTTTCAAAATAAATTTTGCTGTACAAATACATCCATTTGTGTCGAAATTCAGAAACGAACTGTTAAAAAGAGTGAGTAAAAAGGACACTTGACCTATGTTCAAACCCGGCATAAGTAGCTNAATTGATTTATGCTCAAGAAGAGTATACAGAAGGAAATTTCAAAGCAGTTAAAGATGATTCATCTGATGACTATGTACCTGATGAAAAAAAAATATAGAATGAAGGAATATATTTCACTGGAATATAAAATCAAAGTTTTAAAAGTAGCAAAAGCCCACCCTATGTGGAAACTAAAAACATTACAAAAAAAGGATGTAGTCATTTGAAAAAAAAATGGAGCATTTAAAATTATGGGCGAAAGATGTTGAACGTTGTGGAACTATTTTTGATAAATATCATTTGATTGATTCTTGGATGTAAGACCACTTTGTCGAAACGACACAAAATTATAAAAAAAACCAAAAAATCAATAAATAATAAACGAATGAGTAGATGAATAAATACATTATAAGTATTTACGAATAAAAAAAAAAAAAGTATACACAACAAGGAAATCGAACCCGAGCACGAAGGCGTACGAGCCAGGAGCGTTACCACTCACGCCACAGCACTTTTTTTTTTTTAAACTATTTATTTATCAGTTAATAATTTATACAAAGATTGTACAGCTGGCGACATGTATACATATTACAAAGTGCAATTAGATGGACAATTTGATGCTATGTTTTAGCACCTAGATCTTTACAAACGTTTTTTCATTGTTACATAACCTTCGTTTTTCAAAAGTACATTAGAGAACATGTTTGTATTAACAATTTCAAGTATCTTTACTTTACAATACATACTACACATTTAAACACAATATATTGTTGTTGGCTTTAAAAATACCAGTTTCTTCCCAACTA